GTTGATGGAGGACCAACAATAGTCATTTCACAATAATACTAAGACCAAATAAAGATATTTAAAAAAAAAAACTAAAATTGGATTGTCACTTATAAATATATAAGACACAAGTGTCAAATAGACTGATCTATTATTGCAAAGTGTTCAATTCTCACCACGAACTAAATTAAGTGTCAAATAGGCCCATCTACCAGTTAAATTTGTTCGATTGGCATTTTTTACAAGTTACCTATTTAATTATTAAAAATAAATAAATAAATAAAATTAAAAATTAAAAAAAAAAAATCGGCCACCGCCTGTCCGGCCCAGACAGCCAGTGGCTGCCCTTTTGTAGACAGCCGTGGCTGTCCGGAGAGGACAGCCGGACAGCCACGGCTGTCAACAATGAGGTCCAGATCTATTATTTTATTTTTTTTTAATTTTTTATTTTATTTATTTATTTAAAAATCTAACCAAACCTAAGTTTATGCCCAACCTAATTATACTTGGCAAATTACGGCCACACAATTGTGTAGACCACTGTCTAAAATGACGTCATTTTAATGTTTTTTAAAAAAATAATAAAATCATGCTTCGCGCGCATGTTAGAATAATGAACATTATGGGGGTAAGATAATGTATTTTTTGAGTTAGAATAATGTATTTTTTGAGTTAGAATAATGTACTTTATGTGTTAGAATAATGAAATTTTTAGAGTAAGATAATATATCTTTTGAGTTAAAATAATGTACTTTATGTGTTATAATAATGTATTTTATGAGTTAGAATAATAATAATTTTAGGTAAAATAATGTATTTTATGAGTTCGAATAATGTACTTTATGTGTTAGAATAATGTATTTTATGAGTTAGAATAATGTACTTTATATGTTTTTAGACTGTGATCCACACAGCTGTGTGGACCACAGTATACACAGTAATGATTGAATTATACTTATAGTTCTATTAACAGTTTGCTTACCAATTTAAACTCATAGAAATAGTCTTGCCTTCCATGTATTTTTGTAATTTGCAGGAAGAGTCCATCTCACATGTCTTGCATGGTTGTGCTTAATCTCAAGTTGGTTTAGAGTTTCTTAATATGAAATATATAATAAATGGATTAATGGTGTTTGGAATATGGTTTATTAACAAATTTTTTAGTTGAATTAATCAATTTTAGATAATTGAGTAAGCCAATAAGCTAAAATTGCTAATTAGCACAAATCAATTAATTTTCAAAATGTGTAACAATATTTTCGTGTAATTATTTTCCAAAAGTCAAAATTATCCCTAACAAATTCCAAAATATCCCCTCTCTAATGACTAACTCTTCTTTTTTCGTGTAAACTAATTGCCAAACATTTCCTTTATCTAATTAATAGCCTTTTAGAAAAGATACACTCCAACAACTTACAAGCCAAACATAAATAGTTTCGACTTTTGTTCACACAATTGGTAAATATAAATTCTGTAATATTTCTATTTAGAATTATATTGATAAAGTAGAACCAAGTGAAACATTGTCTGGGTGGTGTAGTTGGTTATCACGCTAGTCTCACACACTAGAGGTCCCCGGTTTGAACCCGGGCTTAGACAATATCAGTTTTATATTTTTAAGCCACCCTTTCACTAAGGAATTCAACCATGAAATAGCAACATTCGTGAGTATATTGAGAATTTGGTTTCTATTGCTGAAGCTATTGCAGATCTCAGTCAACGCGCATAAAAAATAGTTTAAAGTATAGTCCCCAATTGAAATTGGTTGAAAATTTTTATGGAGTAGTTGTTTAAGTAATTGTTGGAATTTTCGATCGATCGCACTTGGTTAATATTCGCTAGGCATGTGATATTTTAAATGTCATAATTAAACTACAAATAATAAGGGGTGAAAAGTGAGCACGACTAACATTTAAAGACGAATTCTACAATTACCCTATAACTTAAGAACGATAAATGTAATTTGTCCATAATTAAATAAATACAATGAATAAAAATCATGCCAAATGGCTCAAGTTCTTGGATGGGCCTCGATGGCATACCAAATGCACTTCTTTGACGGGTGAGAATGACCGGTTAGGAAGACAAAGTACAAAAAGACTAGTGCGTGAAGTGATGATACTGTTTGAAGGGGCAAATTAACTTTATTCTCTTCTTATTTAAGCCCCAAAAACATTGTCAATGGGTTCCTAATACCCCTATGTCCGATTGACTCTCAACCTCCACTTCTTAGCTCAATTAACATTGGAGTCATGCATCATTCATCCATCAAATTTAATGATTGTTAAATAAATAAATAAATAAATAAATAAATAATAGACATATGTACTCATAAGTTATTTTATTTATTACCAACTAATTATATATAATTAATTTACCAAACATATTTTTACAAATCATTAGTACTACTAACAAATTAAAACAACTAACACAATCAACGATAAACTAATTACCAACCATTTCCTTTATCTAATTGATAACTTTTTTTAGAAAAGATAAACTACAGCAACTTACAAGCCAAACATAAATAGTTTCAACTTTTGTTCACACAACTGGTAAATATTAATTATGTAGACTATATTTATAAATTAGAATTAAGTAAAACATTGTCTGGGTGGTGTAGTTGGTTATCACGCTAGTCTCACACACTAGAAGTCCTCGATTCAAACTCGGGCTCAGACATGTCAATCATATCATTTTTAAGCCACCCTGTCACTGAGGAATTCAACCGTGAAATAGCAACATTCATGAGTACATTGAGAATTTGGTTTCGATTACTGAAGCTATTGCAGATCTCAGTCAACGGCTCAACGCATCAAAAATAGTTTAAAACATATACCACAATCGAAATTGGTTGAAATTTTGTATGGAGTAGTTGTTGAAGTGATTTTTCGAACTTGGATTGGTTGGAAATTTGATTTTTTTTTTTTTGGCTAAAGTGTCGTCCCGCACCATGGACCATCACTAATTATTCATGCCGCACCATGATCTTAATAAGTGCTATTTCGAGCCATAAACTAATTTTTTTTTTTTTCGCCTAGCACTTTTTGTAGGTTACCTACAAGTTGCAAGTAATAAAATGCTGGCATGGACTTTTTTTTTTTTTTTTCTTTTTACTTCTAGCACCTTGGTCATAGCTTTGTGTGTGGCGGAATTTCCTATGGAGACGAGAATTTCCTATGGTGGAATTTCTTACTGGTTACCCATGGATGATTGCATCACAATGGCATTATGTCTCTTCTTTCCTTTGTGATCCTCAACAATATATGCATATTTATTCACCCAACTTTGCAAGCAAAACAGAACATAATCAATATGTATAACATGAATCTATAATATAATAATTAGGATTAGGATGCAAGAAAGCCACACACACACACACATATATATGTGTGTGTGTGTGTGTGTATGTGAAGGCCACTCCCATTATGCAAAGGAAAAGTGAAAATTGAATTCTACACAAGAAATTATATTTGAACCTCCGAGCACGAAGGGACAACGACGCCTGGGCTGGGGATGTCGATGACCTCCCCGAGAATAAACACCCCCTGCTATTTCTTACCCAGAACCAAGTGAAAATGATCCAAATGCAGAAAAGCTCTGATCAGTCCTTTCTTAAAGATATTAGTTTCCAACAGCCACACTTCTATCGCCGCCGTTCTCTTCGTCCTACAGCACGCCGGATGCTCGAAAAACATGTTCTTCCACTTCCTCACCGTCCACCGACACTTCCGGTACCTGAATGCCACCATTGTCACCACTTTCCCGTACCTTAATTTCCCGCTCTACTGCTTCAACCCTGCCCTCGTTCGCCACCTCATCTCCTCCTCCATCCGCTGCGCGCTTGACCAGACTCTCAATTACGCGGGCATCTACCTCATCGATCTCCTCCCCGCCACAGTCACCCGCATTATCTACTTCGATTCCGACCTCATCGTCGTGGACGACGTCGAGAAGCTCTGGAGAATCGACCTCGATTCCGACGTCCTCGGAGCCCCGGAATACAGCCACACCAACTTCATCCCTATTATTTATTTATTTATTTATTTATTTAAGCTTACATGGACTCCATGTCATTTAATTAAAGCCACGTCACTAACAAATAAGTCAAAAGCACCTAAATCCTGCGCTATGTCATACTCTTTACCGAAAAACCTACAAAAAATGCTAGGCGAAAAAAAAAATTGATTTATGGTTCGGAATAGCACTTATTAAAGATCATGGTGCGACATGAATAATCAGTAGTGGTTCATGGTGCGGGATGACACCTTAGCCTTTTTTTTTTTTTTTTTAATAGTCATGGTTCGATGTCTCATCGAAATTAAAGTAAAAAATTTAAAAGTTTCACCAACTGATGAATTGCTTATTTTATTTTTTATTATTTTTATATTACCTCATTTAGAGTATTTAAATAATAGTATCAGACAAACCATCAATTACAAAATTAGAAACTACAACAACATTTAAAAAAATATAAAGTTTTTCAATAACTAGTAAACCTCTTCATTTTTCACCTTCCTCTTCTCCTTATTTTTGTATGAAAATTTTGAACACCCATAGATGTTTGTTGGAATTTTTAGCCAACCTTTTCAACCCCCTAAGAGGCTAAGATCATGATCAAAATGTTAGAAAATACATTAATTTTTGTCTACCTTAATAAAAAAATTTGAGTTTTTCAGTAATGATCTTTTACTCAAAATTCATTATTTTTACTAGTTTATGTGACTTGTGTATCTATTAAAATACAGTTCATACAATAGTAACATGATAATGAATATTAGTGAGTAGGTTTAATAGGAGAATCTAAAAAATTTGTAGAAATTGATTTTAAAAAGTAGGATATAAACAAAACTTGAGTAATTTTTTTTTGGTAGAGACAAAACTTGAGTAATTGATTATTCATTGTTTGCACTGTGTAAATGGTCATCTTGCAAAACTTACTGCTGAAGGTCCTTCGTTCGAAACTGCCTCTTAACATCAATAATCTTTTCGCGTTTTGAATATCTTTATATTGTAACCACACGTCTTCTCCCCCGCTAGGGTGGTGTGTAGGCGACTTTGTTCAAACTTCGAAATTGATACAACTATTATTCAGTACGGACGGAGTGCTCAAAATATATTATTCATTTCCACAATTCCTCTTCCAAAGCTTGCTTTATCGGATTCAGAAATCTCCCGTTCACGCAGTCGAATCGTTGTTTGTCTCTGCTTCCTTCCTTGTTCCTCGCTGGTTTGCTCCCGATACTTTTTGTTTTTCTAGGGTTTCGCGTTGTCCGATCGGAGGTATGGATTGGGGAAACGTGACAGCGGAGGATCTGATCGAGGCGCTCCGGGAGGTTGACTGGTCATCGCCGCCGCGTCCACTCTCCGAATTCTTCTCCCGATTCACTGTCCCCCGCTCCTATGCCAAATGGAACAGCCGCCTCAAGTGCAATCTCTACTAGTAAGCTCTTCATATATGTTTGCGATTTACATGCAACATCGTCCTTTGCGATACTGATTATCATTTTATTCAATTTGGTGATTGATCTGCCTGGATATTTCTAGAATGAATCGCAAGTGTGTTATGTGCGAATGTGCGATTTTGGTTTTGCATTTGGGGATTGAGCACCGTGGATGCTTCTAGAAGGAATTCAATTCTACTAAGACGCGTCAAATTAGAAGTTTCATTTTCAGCTAGAAATTCGAATATTTTGTTCCGAGATTTCATTTTGAGCTGCTAGAATTTGACTATTTATGCTGTTCCGGAAACTGATTCAGTTTTGTGAGTTACTTTGATTAGCTATTGGTTTCGGTGGTTGTTTTTAGAAGGAAGCAGAGGGTTATAAGATGAGTGTGAATTACTGAATTTTGTTTTCAGTTGGTTAACAATTGAGAAGTATGAAAGCTCTTGTTGGTTATTCATTTGAGTAATTATGATGAAAAAAGAGATCTAGGGACTCAAATTTATGCACTGTTTAGATTTCCTAAACAACTATACTATTGCAATCTGCAATTTATTGACTCTTCGTTCTCTTGTTTTTTTTTTTTTTTTTTTCCTTCTCTTTTTTCATTACAGCTACCGGACAAATTACTTCCTCATGATTGTTTTTATTCTTGGTAAGAGAGGCTAAAGTTATTAGGCCTTTACTTTTAATCTTTTCTCTTCATTTGTAATCTTATGTTTCATCTCCAGAATGTTACTCGTAAATATTTAATTTATTCATGTTCATTTAACACTGCAGGAATGGGATTTCTTAGGAGACCACTAGCTATTGTTGCTGCTCTTTTGACAGCTCTAAGCATTGCTTTTCTGAATGACAGGTATACCAATGTTTAGGACACACTTTTCTTCAAGTCTTCTAAATTCCAGTATGCCATAACATGGTGTTGCACTTGTTTTCAAACAGTGCTTGATTTGTTCCATTAGTTTATCTTTTAAAATAGGCCAGTTATCTGGGCTTCTTGATATGATTTATTTTAAATCTAGTTCCACTAGCAATATCATGGTGTAATCTAAACTCAACAACATTTTGGTTGTTGATTATGATGGATTGCATGAATTTGTATAGATGCTTTTTATTCTAGGTGATGCTGTACATTTCATATTGAAATGAATTGTAAAGTTCAAGTAGTATTTGTTTTTGCAATAATTACAGAGCATGGCTAATATGTATGAGAGATTGGGTATTTTTGTGTATTGGAGTTTATGTGTGCTTTCTGATTTTTAACTATGTTTCTCAGGGCATTTGGGTAAAATGGTACCTTGTAAAACAATCTTCTCATGTTGATAATGATTTTTCTAACAGCTTTGCAGGTGCTTTTAATGAAAAGGTGACAAGAACTGTCAGGCAGTTCTCTCCACATTTAGCTGCAAAAATGAGGCCTCCCCTCACGTGAGTATGTCTTTGATTGTGAAATTGTAAAGCATGTGATATTGCCACCTACTTAACTATCTGATAATTTCCAGACCTGTTATTCGAGGGCGCCCATCAGCCAAACGAGCAATATATATCTGTGGACGACCCCGCTGGGTGTTTGTCTTGGTGTTCTCTACTGGTAGGCACCAGCAATCTGTTTATCTCACTCTTCCTTGGAGCTGAATCATTTTAAACTCTAGTGCAATGTCATCTCATATCTGTTGCTTTCTTTTCAGTGAGTTCAATCCTTTGGTTTGTCTCCTGTGGTCTTCTAACCGTCTCATGGGCATTATCTGTTGGCCTTCTTGGTAATCATAACAGCTTGTTCTTTAGCTAATTGTTCATTTGTTCCAATTTTGATGTCTTTCTAATTAAACTGTCTCTCTCACAGCCACACTTGTTCATGCAAGCTTCCGAACTCCTAACTTGAAAGCTCGTCTGAACACATTCCGTGAAGAATTCCGAGCTGTCTGGCGCAATTACAGTGAACTCTAGTTTCTGAAGATTATTGCATGTAAGTTACTGGCCTTTTCATCTTTTTTGCTGATCTTACTGCTATTTTGGTTGGGTATAATCCCCGCCCCCGCAGTAAGATGTTATTTAAAGAGTAATTAGACAAAACTATGTATATCATTGGGATGTATGTTGCTACCCACCTAGGAAACAGAAAATGCGAAAGAGGGCACAGAACTTGGAGACACTTTAATTTTTGAAAATGTAAAACACAAAACGTGGGAGAAACTTGCAAATATATTATGGCCCTGTTTGGTAAAATGGCTGTTAGCTGATAGCTGTTAGTTGTTAGCTGATTGTGTTAATTAGAGGGTATAAATAGTTGATAACATTAGCTGATTGTAGAAAAGTGTTTGGTAAATTAGCTGTTAACTGTTAGCTGTTTGGTATAATTTTTTTTCTCAAAAAGCTAATTGAAAAAGTTGCTTGGGGTAGCTTTTTCAATTTTAGTCATTTGGAGTTGTAAAAAGCTAATTAACCAAACATTTATATTGATATTTTAACTAAATCAAACAATTAATAGTGGTCAAATAAGCCAAAATTGGCCTATAGGCCAACTTTTTACCAAACAGGGCCTATAAAAAAAGGAATAAGACCGCATTTCTTTTTACCCAATTTTTTTTTTTTTTTTTTTTTTTTTCACTAGACGCCTAAAAGTCTGAAACACACTTTGATAGTAAATGTTCCCTTTTATTTTTTATATTTTTTAAGAAAAGAAAAGAAATATGTGGAAACAGCCCCAAAAAGATTTTGTGAAGTTTCCTAGTGAGTAACATGACCAAACACGGAAATGCTCCTCTCTGAAAGTTTCAATGCATTGTTTCACACATTATGTGATTGACTGATTGCATTTGATTATTGTCATTCCAATGTCTGAGTCTGGCAAATTGCACGGTGGACCATGTTTACCTTGCAATGTGGATCACGGATAAATGTTCATTTTTAGTATACTGAAGGTTTATTTTTAATGTACTGAAATTTCATTTTTTTAAAGTACTATACCAAATAATGAACCTTCAAAAATGAACAGTCAATGTATTAAAAATGAACTTTCAGTATAGTAAAAATGAATTTGAACCGTGGTCCATGTCTCGATGATATAATGATTGTTGTTGGGTTGAGATTAAAATTGTATCGTGTCCACTAAGGTAGGTGGGTTTTTATGATGTCATATACAGGAGAGTAGTAAGAATTCACACTCCCAGACATTTATTATGTTGTGTTGACAATATTATATGTTTAGGTAAATTGTAAATTTATTTATTATATGTCCAATTTGTTATGGTCATCCTAATTCTGAGGGGAGCTGATCTTTTCCTTGTTTCTAAAGGGGATTAATCAGTGATGGAGATTGGACGCCGCGCTCAAACTGCTACTTCTAGTGGTGCTAAGTAGATAAATTTCTTTGTTGGAGAAGGTAGTTTTATCAGTTACTGGCCACCATAATTGCAGAGGCCATTTGTAAATGGATTTGAAGTTACTTGTATGGACTTATGCCATTCTTAAATGCATGATTGCTAAAACATTTCTCATAATTTCTGCCTGCCTGTAGACTGTAGACTCTGGTGTTTCTGAAAAACTATTGCCACTTCTTTTCTAAAGGTATGTTAATCCAGTTATTATTATTGCATAATAAAGGTATGTTAATCCAGTTATCTCTGCCTGCAATATTGCTTTTCTTTTGTGGTTGCAATATTGCAATCAACAGTGAATTTAATTTAATTGCTCACAATACCAGTAAGGTTAAAAATCAAGAAACATTTATGTTCGTAACTCGGAATATTGAAGCTAATGTTCAAATCACTATCTAAAACTGAACTCTCATGTCCAACTTTGATAAAATATTTATTTTATCAGAAAAATATCGTTCAAAGCATTAAATATGCATAAGTATTAAATTGAAGTTTCATCATTCTTTTGTTTCCTTTTGGGAAACAATAATACTCCACTCACTGCTCAAACTAAGCTTTGACTTGGCTTGAGAAAATACAGCAACCACAAGCAAATTACCACTTTTAAACGACCCCCAACCAAAATCCGGCATGAAATTCTAGCAATAGTAAAATAAATCTAATAATTATACTGTGGACTACGCAAGTACGCATATACAAATTCATTTTTAATGTACTTTTTTTTTAAAGGTGCATTTTATGTATAATGCAATTTTATTTTTTAGTACTACATTAAAAATGAACATTTAGTACACATTAAAAATAAATATTTAGTAGTGGTCTATCTTGTAATGTAGACCATGGTCCAATCACTAATTTGCCAGCAAATAGTTAAGGGAATTTAAGCTCGTCTCTAGCCTAACCACGCTGCTATATAGCACAAAAACAGGAAATAGAAAACTTAGGAAATGATAATTTTTTTAAAAAATGTTGAAATGTTACCAAAACGGTCCTTTAATTATAATAAAATTATCAATTTGATCCTTAATTATTTTTTTTGCCTAATCTAGTCTTTAACTTTAAAAATCTTAACCAATTTAGCCTTCACTTCTGATTACTCAGACCAAATTAGTAATTTTAGTATAATCAAGGAACCATTTTAGTCATCATATTCACCATTTCCTCTCTTATTAAATCGAAGAGTTAAAGAGTTAATTACCAAAATGGTCCATTGACTATAGTAAAAATTACCAATTTGATCCCAAATAAATGTAAGTCTGATGGCTAAATAAACGATAGATCAAATTGGTTAAAATTTTTAAAGTTAAGGACTAAATTAGGTTTAAAAAAATAGTCAATGACTAAATTGATAATTTTATTATAGTCAAGGGACCATTTCGATAATTAATTCTAAAAAATAGCTTTTGGTGTAATAAATATCTTCTTTAAAAATAAAAAAAAAAATCCATATAAGAAAAATTTGAGTCACCAAACAAAAATGGTTATAAATATGGTCGAACCAAAGCTTGTAAAACTTTGGTCCCCTCGAATAGACTCCACTAGATTCTCTTCCATGCTCCAACATTGTTGGACCTACTGTTTCATTTATGTGCCAAAACTACGGTCCCCTGCGTCTCCAAGCCCCGGGATTATAAACCTAAAAATGTCAATTAAGGTAGTGAAATTAGCAATGATCTGAGCATTTTGTTGTTCAGCAAAGATTTGGGCGAAAATTACCCTTTTTCACTGATTTTGGGGTCAACAGTTCCAGCAAATACATGTAGCCTGAAAATCACAAAAAGAAATAATCACAGCATCTGCATGAATTAAGCTTCATTCTTTAGTAGATTTTGACTCAATAAAAGATTTTTACCCTGGAAACTTCTCGCGGAGCCTTTGAAGAGCTGGAGGAGAAGCAACAGCAGATATCTGAAAGAAGCAATTCACTTAGCTAATTGACAATACAAGTCACTTAAGAGAATAGGAAAAGAATGAGAATAGTATGATATCCAACAGTTGGACATTGCAGAACAGAAGTAGCAGTTTGTAATGAGAATCTGAAATGAAATCCATCACATGCTCAAAAGAATAGAGTGTTTTCACCACTTTAATTTGCTTGTTCTCAACTCCACGTTTCTTTATCAAATCAAGAGCTGCAACTGCTGTACCGCCTAGAAATACATAGAGATACATATGGATTAGTTGCAAACTAGGAGGGTTTACGACTGCAATCATGTATGCACATTGCACACATTTGTTGCCTAGTTGGTCTCATACACAAACTGTTAGATAATGCGTTCTCAACACCAAAGACCTTGTAGTCCAGAGACATAAGCCATTACGCCTAAGACTTATTAGTATGAGATCTCAAGTTCAATCCCCATCCCCTATAATTTGTAAGATGTGTCGTTTGCATCCAGTCCAAACTTTAGGACAGCACATGTTGGGATCAATTAAGGAATTTAAGTATGCTATATTGCTATGTATGCATATGAGAAGAAAGCTCTTCAAGCTAGAAGGTATCTGATTTTGACAGCAAGGATTTAATGCTTAGATTCATACTGTACATCTTTGCCAAGAACACAAATCATAAGACAACATGAATTATTTATTGTGTTTATATGTACGTGTGTATGTATATGCACACACACAAGCCTCAAAGCAAGTATATATTCTCAGAGTCTAGAAGTTACTTCAAAGCAAAAGTATTTCTACCTGTAGCCAGCATAGGATCAACAAGAAAAATGCGAGAACCATCGGGAAATTTGTCAGGTAGCCTGATGGATCCGCATGAAAGACAGTGAGAAACTTATCCAAAAGGTTACTTAAAGCATCCCATGTTCAACTATACTAGTGAGAATCATGTGAGTGATAAGAAGAATATATAAAGTGGAGGCAATGAAGCACAATAATATTCTGTAAGAGAATGAAGGACCACCAACTTGAAAGGGGGAAACAAAGGATGATGATAACAATAACAATAATAAAGAACAGAATGTAATTCCGTCTTTGAGAAGAATGCTTACTTGTTCAAGTATACTGTTGGTTGAAGGGTTTCTTCATTTCTACTGATTCCTTTAATTTGGAATGAAGATAAATATCAACATAGTAATGGTGAACAACACACTTGAGAAATCAAATAATGATAATAAATCACATTTCAAATATAATAATAATAATAATAATAATAATTATTATTATTATTATTATTAATTTATTATTATTATTATTATTATTATTATTATTATTATTATTATTATTATTATTATTATTATTATTATTATTATTATTTCTACCAATGCCATGCATAGAAGTAGTTATAGATGCAGATTACAATTTCATACAGATACCTAATATACTTACTAGACTAGAATATTAGTGACAAAGTTAAATGGAGTACAAGGGTAGTAAATGTCACTTACCCAGATGATAAATTTTTGTAGCAGGCAGAATTGATGATGCATGCTCAGCAAGAGCTAGGCCAGCTCTCAAGATGGGAACAATCTGCAAGTAGGACATAGAAAATTAATTAAACATATAATGAAGGGAAATCAATGTCCGGAGATATTCAGAGACCAATTCTGAAAAGTAGGACATAGAAACAAGAAAAATTGTGCCCAAGTATATATAGCACTGATGCAGAACTTAAAAAATACTAACCACAACAGGTTCACTTGGATCAATAAACTCAACAGAGGCAATGGCCACGGGTGTTTGAATCTCGGCTGTTATGGTTGGCTGGAAATAATGGTGAAAAGTAGTTAAATGAGCATTTCATACAAAAAATGTCTTAGAAGGAGCAGGTGTTACAAAAGCACAATAATAAGGTTAGCTAAACATAACAAACAGTAGAGAGTAGAGACTGAACATCACTAGCAGAGCTAAATTGTAAATTCAAAGTTCAGTTTTTATTCAATTTCATACACTCAGTTCCTGTGTTCATAATTATTATATAATAAATAATCAGATTCAGAAGCAATTGTGGACAAAACATGCATCCCAATGACCCAATGTAACTCACCAACCAATCTCTTGAAGCTTCGTATATTAGCAATCTCCCTAGCTCAGCCATGGCATTCTCTGTAATTACAATTAAAAGTAAACAAACACACAGTTGAAAAGAACAACCCCTATGCCTGATGTGTAAAATAACATAGCAAGAGCAAAAAACCACTGATAGATGATGTAGTGAGGTAAGGTATACAGAGGTTAACGACAGCCTAATGCATCCAAAACAAGAGGCATTATGAATACAAAGAATTTTTTGTTTTTTCCATTTGTCAGACATTACTAACCTATTGCAGCTACAACAGAACAAATTAATAACAATTATGATGTAAGCAATCTCATATTAGATCACAACATGATATGCAAAAACTAAATCAAACAAACTAGAAGATGAATGCCTGCAATTCTATATTTCTATTCAGGGAGCCAATCATGTCATTTCCACCAACTGAAGTCCAGCCAAGTCAAATACACTATAAGGTTGTCCATTTTTGAATCAGCACACCACAAGAAATATAAAATAAATGTGAACAAATAAATTGAATGCCTACTCATATTAGTTTATATAATTATTCATACTGCATCCATAATTGATTATCAGCAACCTACGAAGAAATGCATACAAATAGATAAAGAAGAACTCAGCATATCTTACTTTCAGCATCAAAACTAAACAGCAAAATCCAACGAAATATCTAGAAACAAGTAGAACTGTAATCGATTAAGCGAAAGCTTCACGTACTGAATATCGGACAAGGAGTCTGCTCATTCCGGAGAACCGAAATCCAGTGTTTTATCAAAGCGTGCGGTGGAACAATCGCCTAACGAAGTAAACAAAGTCAATCCCATTAAGATCAATCAATACTAATCTCCCATTTCAGCCAAACACGGCGTAACTCACCAGCATTTGATCTTCAGACATCACTCCCCTCTCCGTCGTCGTTTCGCACCTCAACGCCGCCCCTTCCCCGCCGGCCATCCGAATACAAACTTCCGTCTAATATATATAAGCAAAATCAATCAATTCAAATACCAGGAGCAAGGTAATTCGTCATTTTATGCGTGCGTTACATATATATTAGTAAAGTTTTACCGCGGTTAAAGTTGAGGCAAGGATTCAGTGAGGGGAGGAGTTGGTGATAGCGTGCGGAGGAGAGAGGAGAGACGGCGGTGATTGAGGTTGGAGCGTTATAAAGACGGCAATGAAACGCCATTAAAGAAAGTGTATCGAACCTTGGATATTGATTGGCGGATTATATGAGTGACAAATAAGGACATGTCACTGCGATATGCAAAAAAAAAGGATTATATAACTCATTTATAAATCTCAATCCAGATTATATTCTTCATTTATATTCAGTTTTGGTTAATATTTCTTTTTATATACTATATATAAAATAAAATTTTTAAATTCATATTATTCTTTTTATATTTCTCATTATTATTATTGTGCGCATGCATACATAATATCTTTTTTTTTTTAATATTCTTCAATGGTAATAATGTGTATATACATTATAATATTATATATATATATATATATATATATATATATATATATATATTAAAGTACGTAATATAAGAAATAAATTTGATGACAAACACTTTGTGCCCAGATGACACGTTATGAGATTAAATTACAATGTAATAGAATCAGTAACTTTATTAAAATTTTAATCTTTCTACCATTAATCCTTCTGTCATCTTACCTTTAGTTAAGCAGCGTCAAAACAAGGCTAAAATCATCATTTCATTGTTTAGGTTCCTTTTTCCACTTCGTTCCCCTCTTCAATTGATCAGAATGTTCTACACGGAAAGAATTGATAGAGAACATGGTTTAAACTGAAAACCATTTCCAATCAAATATACCAAACTAATTGTGTGGTAAATTGAGATTAGTATTTGACATCCTCTTAATTACAGCTTTGCCTACTGTAGTTATTACTAATTGGCATTGTTAATTACTTGTTATTAAGTTTATGAGCTAATCTCGTTTATTACCTTTCATAATAATAATTATTTCTTGGTAATCTTTTATGTTTGGAAAGATTGCATATTTGGTGATTATTGATAATGATAATTAAGTCATACTAATAAATTGTTATGTATCAATGGGAGCGACATTGACGGGTCAGATCAACTCTTTGTCGCCAAAGATGGAAAGAATTTTGAAGGCTTTGTTTGTGAGTTGATCTTCATTGACGCTATGGAGAGATGCGATTTGCATCATTAAGGTAAGTTGTTAATTATCCTTTATTGTTATTATTAGTAATTAGTACTACACTTTATAGTTAACCATTATATTTTGGACTAGTCATATTTTATCTTTATATAACCGTCGCGACGTCGAGTTGCTGGCTATTTTTGTTAAGAGTTTTGTAATTCCCAAGAAAGAATGCTTGTTTAGAATACAAGACAACTATTTATACATAGAAAAATATGTGTATTCCTCTTAGAATTGGTGATTGAGTGGGTGAAATATGATTCTTGATCAAATCTATTGCATTTGTAGCTTTCCCCTCTTAACGCCTAGGCCTTAAGCTTGCTAGATGTTATCCACCATATGCTACCCAACAAATTATTGTGTGGACCACGGTCCAAAACGACGTTGTTTTAATGTTAACAAAATGCTTTGCTCTATGTGCGTGTTAGAATAGTGAACATTATGGGGTAAGATAATGTATTTTATGAGTTAGAATAATGTACTTTATGTGTTAAAATAATATATTTTATGAAGTAAAATAATTTTTTTTGAAAGAAAAGTAAAATAATTTATTTTATGTGTTTTTGAACCGTAATCCACACAGCCGTGTGGACCACGGTCCACGCAATAATGATTGGGTGAGACATCATTATATCGAGTTCTATTGAATGTTTGGGTCACCTTTGTTTGTTGGTATTATTTGTTTTAGATTATCTTTTAGTAAAAGAATTTTATCATATTTTTTTTTTGAAAGGAATTTTATCATATTATTTTAATAGTACATGTTTAAAAAAAAAGTATTATTGCATATTGATAATATATATTTGTAATAATACTTTTGTAAGAAGTTTTTTCAAAATCAAGCATTTGTCGTAAACATATTATAGTAAGTTCAAAGAAAATGATTTGTCATATTCGAAAAGGGTCACAAACATGCATCACATGCATCAATTATATATAGTTATATACCTGTTTAATTCATCATATCATATACCAAATCAATGATTTATTTTTATAATTTTGAACATTAAACTTAAGGGTCGTCATTATCATTCTTATTTAAGGTAAACCACAAGATGTACGGATGTACCTCAACTAATTAACTTGCATGTTTTCAAATACCTATACACTAATACTCACAACAAAGTTAAAATAAATTTATTTTCACACGAAAATTAAAATAAATAAATACTTTGTGCAATTTTTAAATATGAAATAATTAATATAAAATAAAAACAATTATTTTTAATATAATCAAAATAAATATTTTTAACTTGTAATAAAAGTAGTACGTGGTAAATATGAGTATTGTTGTAGATAGTTATAATCGAAAATAAAAATGATGTTATAATAATTTTTATATTAAAATAAATTAAGTCTTCTTAATGTGATATTAGTGAATCAGTAAAGCTTAACTTATTTTTTGTTAAAAATGACATAATTATAATAAGATTACTGACGTTGTTATTTTGAGTATTATACTTCCCATTTTATACATATATACCCAGTTTGCTTAACACCTCTTAGCTATTTTCAATTAAAAATCTTATCAAATTTCTAATTAAAATTTTCTACGTAAACAATACTATTCAAAGTTCATAACGTTGTAAGGTACAAACCAGTCGGACGGGGATGAAAACAAAATTTGAGGACACAGGGAGTGGGGAGAAGAGCCAAATGGCAGTAACGCAATTGTTATACCATAAACTAGGATCTACTATGCATTATATTATTGCAGTTGTTATAACATGGATCAGGGTCACTAAGGTGGATCCTTGTCCTAAATTGTGTATTTTTAGTATTGAAATTATGAACATTTAGAATATAAATTGTGTTACCAAGACTATGTGGTCTAATGGTACCCGGGTTGGACTACCATTTGGAAGGTTACGAGTTCGAGCCTCAGTTCTTTGTGTTTCAGTAGGTTGAGAAAGTATATGAACAGATACTACAATATGTAATAGGGCCAGTAACATTCAAAAAAAAAAAAGAATATAAATTGTGTTATTAAGTTTGAGAATTTGTGAAAATAAAGGTCACAAATTGTGAGCTTTACTGTGAACATTTAGTATGTAAATTGTGTATCTTTGGACTCGAATCCATCTTCCAAGTTTGAGAATTTGTGAAAATAAAGGTCACAAATTGTGAGCTTTACTGTGAACATTTAGTATGTAAATTGTGTATCTTTGGACTCGAATCCATCTTCCACATAATAATTTGCCGCATTATTGACCTTGATTTAAAAATTATATGTCTTCATTAACATATTACGTACTTTCAATAAATAAACTGTGTCTGAAAATAAATTAAAGACACATAATATGTTAATTACAGACACATAATATATTTGTAATTAACATATTATGTCTTCAATTTATTTACATAGACATATTATATTTAATATACACATAATAAATTAATTACAAACATATAATTTAAAAGTAATTTTGAACCAAGATCGTGCATTTTTGCCAGTCATAAAATTACTATCCACATGTTAATTTCACCGAAGCTTTTTGGCCATTCAAAGTAAACAAACTGACCAAAATAGTTAGGAAATTGGTTAATTTCATCAAAGCTTTTTGGCCATTCAAAGAAAATGATCAAAAAATTAGGAAGTTGGTTACAAATACCTATATATTCTTCCCAAAAATTTTAAATCATATTACTTGTACCAAGATTTATAGAAGTTAGTTTCAAATATTCAATTTTATGCTATTCCCAAATTTTTTGAATCCAGTTGCCCTTCACTTGCAAATTACAATGTCCCACGCTGCTAGTATTGGGCAACACAGCAGGCATTGCTTTGGCAAGGAAAATTGCACTTAAAGAACACAAGTTTTGTTTTTTTACACGAAAACAATGGTAAGACCCTGGCAATCGTTGCAAATTAACTATAGGGCCTAGATACACATACATTATATTGTGACTATGTTTTGTTGATAACCCTGGCCCCTCCTACTCTTCATTCTAAGAATAAATAGAAGATATAAAATGCATTGGCAAGTGGCAATGCCAAACAATGAAGTGTCCAAAGCAAAAGTGAAACATTGTTTAAAAGCATAATATCTTGAGAGGAATCTCGATACATTAGGCTCTACAGCCCTAGCCATTAACAGAAAGGAGAAAAACCACTTATTATAAGATGATAACTAGTAAGACTGGCGACCAACAATACTTTGCTGTTTCATAATTTGCAAATGTCCGATCAGCTGTAATTATTAAGCTTAGATTTCACCATCCCACAGATCTTCAACAGTTTTGTATGAGCCGTAAGTGTCACTCACAAATGATGTGCCTCTAATCAGCCTTGCCTGCAAAGTTAATAAACAGCATTCATCATATTCTAATATATATGCATTCTATTATATTTTTAATGGCTTATATATGATCCATATGGAAATTTGACATTGAAAATACCAAATACTTTTCTGCATGCTATAAACAAATAATAATTCCTCCTTTGAAAAGCCAATTCGCACAAGGATATGTATTATTTTAATGTATTAAGACAAAGAATTAAGAAAACACTTGCCTGCTCAATTTCAGAGAACTTGGCCATCAAGTCATCAGGTATAGACCAGTCAAAGACCTCAAAGTTCTGTTTGATACGTCCTTCATTTGTACTTTTTGGAAGTACACTGTTTCCCATCTGCAAGCCCCAGCGAAGACAAACCTGGGCAGGGGTCTTACCCAATTTCTCAGCAACAGAAAGCACAACAGGCTGATTAAGTACATTACTCTTGAGCCATGTAGTGCCCGGAGAACCCAATGGTGAATATGCCTGAAAGAAAAATGTAACAAGCAAAGTTTGGAACAATTACAATACATTAATCACCATTATGATCAACTGAAATGATGAAGTAAACTGTTTTCCCTTGAACAAACCACTGAAGACCTTTGTGTAAGAAATATTTGAATAGTAAACTCACAGAGAGGTGAACTCCTTTGGATTTACAGAACTCTCGCAGTTTGGCTTGCTGCCATGAAGGGTGGCATTCAACCTGGTTAACAGCAGGAGGAACACGAGCAACTTCCAAAAGATCCCCCAGCTT